GGATGATCGGATCATAGGATTCTGAAAAATGGAAGGAGTGATCAACTGTGTCAGTTAGGTTGAGACCAATGAAAAACTGGGTTTGGCAGGGTGGAGGGTACTGAGAAGAGCAGTTTCAGCAGAGTGGGCTCAGGTGAGCACAGGAAAAGGGAAAGTGGAGACTGTATAGACACCTCTTGGAGCATATAGACACCTCTTGGGGAATTTTGCTTCTTAAAGAAGAACAGAAATTGAGCAGGAGCTTGAGGAAGACGTTGGGTCAAGGGAAGGAATCTCTTTGCTTTGAGTGGAAGATGTTACAGCACTTTTTGAGAATGCTTCAGTTAAATGGGGAAAGTGGATGATAAAGGAGAGATAATTTATTGTAAGCTACTGGGTCCCTGCCAATTGAGCAGAAAAGAAGTCCACCTTCAGGAGGAAAAACCCTGGAGATGGGTAATATGCTTTATTTTGTTTTTTAGATTTCAGTGCAAGTACAGTTTTTTTTCTGAACTGAATTCATGACAAGCTGAGATACAGATGGTAACAAGAATGAGATGTGTGTGTGTTTTAAGAAAACATTTCCAGACTCAGGAGACAGGTCTGAACTAAAGATAAAATTAGACACCTTCAAACGTGTATTGACTTTATCGTCAAAGAAATAAACATTAAATTATTAATTATATCTCAGTTATATAAGACTACTTTATCTTTACTCAACCCCCAGTTGTTTGGATTTCATGGTAATTTAGGTTCAGATAAACTGCATTAGTCTTTGTGGTATATGTGGGAAGGGGATTGAGAGAAAATTAATAAGCAAATTGAATTGCCCAGGGGTGTTTAACATCCTTTTATAGAATTGCTTCCAAGCTCTCTATAAGCAGCTCTTTATCATATACATATGCTAATTATAAAATTTCTTTTTCTCTTCAACAAAGTTGCCAGCCCTTTTTCAGCCTTTATCGGGAAAAAAATAAGAACTTTTCTACCAAGAAGTCTGCAGGGCTAATTTCTGTTGCATTTTGCCAGAAGTGTGTCAGCAGTGACATAGGTTAAAGAACAGACTGGACCACCTACAAATGATAATGAAGAACATTAATTAATGATCCTGTAGTGCTTTACCATTTACCGAGACGTTTTGAATATATTCTATGATTTCATTTATTCAGTGAATCCGTTTGACAGCCTTCTGTATTCTAGGTCCTAGAAATTGTGAAAAAGGTCCCCCTCTCATGAAGCTTACCATGAGCTGCACGACACCCCAATGAAATATGTAGGTCAAGTACTATTATTCGTCTTTACAGATGAAGATGTTCTACTAAGGCTTAATTAATACTTAGATTTAAACCGTTACTGTTCTAGGAACTGGGGCCTCAGATGAAATTTCATCACTTCCCCCAAACTTTTCAAACCTCAGTATTTTAATATATGTCGTATCCTGAAATGTTATCTTCATAAATATAATGAAACCCTACGGCGGAAACTTTCATATTTCAAAAATGTATTCCAGCGCTCAATCTGGTCACCATGTGTCTAGAAGAGCCATTTCATGTCACGAAGACACCAGTTACGGCTGGCCCACCTTACATTATTGCTCTGTGAGCCCGGTAAATTCTTTACTGCCAACAGAATTACTGCAATATCTGAAATGCATTAGCTTTTTTCAAAACAACCTTCATAATTAAAATATCAGTTAACTGCCTTTGCTATAAACCCTTTTAAAAATCTGACTTTTTACCATTTGCATTGAGTCACCTAATTATTGGAAATTAAAGCAGCATTACTTTTTCGAAGTTTAAAACATAGCTTATAAATGGAAAATAGTTATTGTGACTTCTTTAAAAGATAATGTAAGCCACATACGAACTCTCTTCAGAGTAGTTTTTTTTCCCTCCCATCATTGAGAAAATTTTTATATGGATTTTTAAAACATAAAGTAAGTATGGCGCGATACCCTCCTTCTCCTCCCTGACTCTGGTAACTTTCTGTGACTATCGGAAGATACAGTTGTGAAGCAGGGCGCTAAGTGGGAATTTTCCTTGAGGTACTACATACCGCAGACTCTAAAGAGGAAGCTACATCCTGTTTGAGGTTTATCAAGAGGTGGTGAACCCTCCCCGAGTCGGTTTCCAGCCCATGTAGCAGAAGAGGGTGCTGAGGAAGGACCGGGAATTGTCTGAGCCACTGTAGAAAGAGCTGAGGCTTTTCCTCCTTCCCATGGGAGCATGTTCTCATACACTGCAAGCCTTGTGACAAGGGCTCCAAGAGGAATGCTCAGCCAGAGTGGAGGGGAGCCTGCCAGGAGGGGAAACTGGCATCTCTTTCCAAGTGGGACTTCTGGCAGGCAGATGCACGTGGCAATAACCTGAGCTGAAGAAAGGAGAATTGGAGAGAGATCCTGGCAGAGAGGGGAAGTGGTCACCGAATAGCCAGCCCCACGTGGCAAGGATATGTCCGTGAGATGCCAGTGGGTATGCAGAGGGAGGCTGGGCTCATGCCGTCTCCCCTGTGTCCTGTCCACGGGGCATGTGTGGGCACAAGGAAGGCCGCATGGAGGAGGTCAAGCTAGAGCCAGACCTCTCACATGGAGAACTGCGCAGTGGGAACTCCAGCCCTGGCAAGCCGAGCTCCCTGGAGAACTCACATGGGCATAGCACAACCCGGCCCGGAACGTTCCTACAGGAGGGCATCCGAGGCCAAGTCGGTGTTGCCCTGATAACTGGTGACAACCGTCAGAGACAACTCAGCCACTGCCAGATAAGAAAGGGGCCCTTGTCCTTCTGCACCCTCTTCCACAAGTGAGCACATGATGGAGGTAGAGCTTGGGGTTAGGGGCATCCAAGACTGACACCCCACCTCAAGCTTTTTAAGCCCCAAAACTGGCCTGTAGTGAGGGAGAGCAATGTCTGAATCAGATATGATATTAGAGTTTTATGCAAAATGGATCCTTCATGACTCAAAGTGACCCAAAATATCAGTTGGCCTGTTGCCCATCACGGAGGAGAGACTGGACATGGCCCATGTGGGAGTGCTGGTTGGAAAACAGTAAAACTTTCAGGTATTTGGACCCCAGGGGAGTTGAGACTGTTCCATTAACTGGTTCCATACACACACACACACACACACACACACACACACACACACACACACACACACACGTGTCAGGATCAGTAAAATAAGTTCCATAGATCTGGAGAGTCCCTCTGCCTTCTGATGACATCAGTACCAGGCTGGCACTCCTTCCTAAATATTGTAGCAGGCTGGTATGTTGTGACACTCCCTCGTGTGACCTGAACTAGCTACTTAACCTCTCTGAATGTCAGTGTCTTCGTCTGTCAGATGACAGGCAGTTCCTGGGTTAATTCTGGTACTAAAAGTCCATGAGCATGGTAGATGTGATTTATGTAAAAGAATTAGCTCAGAACTGTGGGTGAGAATACTGAAAAGATCAAGGGTATCCTACAAGTATGTTTGTGCCAGTTAAGATGATAATCCCACTAAAGCATGGAGCTGATATATTTAAATCAGATGGCAGCTAGCTCCTGGAGACAGGCTGGGGGGATAAAGAGACCAAGACTTAACTTGCAAGAGATTTGATTTTTGAAAAGTGGGAAGAAGAAGATGCCCCTGTGAAGAAAATAGCATGAAGTTTCGAAGGAACTGAGAAGAGCAGAGCTGGTTTAAGTGGCAGGTGGTTGGAGGTGCCTTTTGGTCAGAGTCTGGGGCTCTTTCTTGCTTAACAGAATGCCAGTGACCTGACAGTCTGTCCCCAGCAAGCCATCCAGATGACAGAAGGATGGAAAGCAGGGATGTCGATGTGTGCGGAGGTGCCACTGTAACTGGAGGCAGATGTTAAATTTCTAGTGGACGTCTCTAGGAGGGCGAAGGTGGAGGTAACATTTAGCCAGGGAGAAGCTTTCTTTTCCTTACTTTGTTTGCTGATGAGATTGTTCTTTGCTGGGTTTCTAAACCACGTTGTGGTTATGCCCGTATCTTCTTCTTGCACTGACCTTCGTACCTTTGTTTGTGAGTTCTGGGGATGTTCACAGTGCTCGCTGGATGAGTTTAGGCGCTCTGCCATTTTCTGTGATTCGATTTCATGGTGTTTTTTAGAATGATGAAATTCAGAAAAAGAACTCTGTAAAGGCCAGCCAGGAGCCTAGTCAGTTTAGTGGTTTCTACTGTAACTCCCTGGAGGGGGTGTTGGTTAGTTTGGCATTTGGTCCTAAGCAAACATTATTGCCTTTCAATAATTGATAGTTATTAGATTGGTAATGGTGTAGTGGAGAGAACAAATTACGGAGCTGATTCATTAGGTGCACAAATGCTGTTCCCCAAAGTTTCTGCTTGAATAACAGAACAGAGCTTCCATACCCTACCTGCTCCCCGCTCCAGCCTCCTTCCTGCCACCCCCAGCACCACGCATTCCCACTGCTGGGCGGCAGACTGACACTTCTCCCCTTGTTAACCACAGTTTTGCCCTTGAAGACTCTGGAGGGAAAAATATCTCCTAGGTTTATCAAATGGAGTAGTGACTAAATTAGGAAAGTCATTTTATTGCATTGTTTGCCCGTGGTCATTTGGAGATAAGAAACGCAAAATGTTTGACCTGTGCTAAAGATTTTTTTCCCTTCTTTCCTGAACTTCATAAAAATATTGATCCTCTGAAATGAGTGATGTGACGAGGGAAGGAATTTTTTATTCTCTTTGGCAAATGTAAAACACAGCTCACTTTTTCCAGCATGATTGGTAATTTCTCTTGATATATAGCTAGTCTGTAAAGTGGTCTTTTTTTCTAGCCAACCCAAAATGTTTTAAAGCAAAAGAATGGCTTGGAAGTCAATTATTAAAACTTAGACTTTTTTTTTTTTAGTTTTGTTTGTTTTTTGATTTTTTTTTTTTTTTGAAGAAATGTGCTTCTTTGCTTTTTATTATTTTTCTCCTTCCTTTCCTTGATGCTACATTGGTAGCTGCCATGTTTTAAATATTGACAAAATGAGATAGTTTTCTGTTTATATCAGCAGTCGTCTGTCTGTGAAATATGGACGAATCAGAACGCTGGATTTCCTTTCTCAGCCATCCATCAGGTTCATAATGTAAGGTTACAAATGGTTATTTTCTCGTCCTAAATTTGCGCTATGTAATGTGTTGCAAAATGTTGTCAACAGCCATAGAAACTATGTCCTGGCAATGCAGAAAATTTGTGGTGTCTAATGACTCCTGAGATTTTTTTTGTCTATTATACTTTATTTACTGTGCCTTGTGACTAGTTGACGTGCAAACATTGTCCTAAAATGAGAAAAATACTTGGTTTTGAAGTCTGCAGTTAAAATCTGTCCCTTGTGAGTTTTGGCTTTCATCCCAGGTGTCTGTGTTAACTTGCTTTCACAGGAAAAAGGAAAAGGGTAAATTGATATATATACACGTATATATCAGTGTTTTTCTTCCCCATTTTGTACTTCCTCGTGTCCATGGGCTATTCAAATCATTGTGTCTAACAGTTCTCAAAGGTTCATGCGCTTTACTCGTGAGAAATATTTGAGTATGATTTGCATGATATCCTGTATAAATTTTATGCAAATGTGGGAGGAGTGTCACCAGGAGAGGCACTATTACAGCTGAAAGTGGTTCTCAGCCTTTTCCTATTTGACAGTACTGAATTGATCTTTGAAACGCATATGAAACCGTGACCTATTTTACTCTGAGCTGCTTAATATTCGAATGTTCACATTTCACCTTCACATATTTTTTTAAATTCATTTTTGTTTGGAAAGTAAACATTTTAATGTCCAGTTTTTCTTCCATTTGGTATTTTAAAATAAAATCCTATTTTCATATCCTGTTAAATTTTTCCCATTGGATAGCCTGCTTTCTGAGAGGTTGAGACATTTGGTTGAGAATCACTAAGCAGAGCTCTTGGAGTGGCATGCGAAGGGCCTCTCTCGGGGTGCCACATCAGGCACACCCCTCCTTCTGTGCATGGAACTTCTGGCTCTTAGGGATGGTAGGGACTATACACTGCCTGATGCTGGTGCTCCAGTGACCCAGCAGTTCCTCCCAAACCTGTAAATGCTAACCATGTTCAGAGGTGGCCATCTCTGCTCTTTATCATCAAATGGAACAAATATAGTATAACCAACTGCATTTGACCAAACTAGCATTCTTTATTTTTGAAGACTTTTTTTAAAGGAACTACAGCAGCATCCTGCTTTCATGTGTGTATGTGAATGTTTGTAGGAGGCTTTTCCTTACATTCACACCCAGATACCTGAATGCATATCTGTAATGCATAGAGCTATATGTTGCATTCCTCAAAGCCTTAGATATAATGGAAAGCAAATATAATCACTTAGATCTTATGTATGTTTATTGCGGAGCCCATTTCTGATATTGGTCAGAATTATTGAAAGGGAACCTTAAAATAACAATTGTCATTTAAAATCATTTTAGTTTTTCATTAAGTGTTCTGAAGAAATAGAGAATAATGTTTGTTAATATTCAGATCTAAATTTACAAGCAGGTAGGTGGGAGCAGTTCCTAGTAGAAAAGATTTAAAAACCTCTATTTTAAAATATCAATTAAATCTTAATTTTGAAGAAATTTTAAAAAAGTAATACAAGGCTTGGAAAATACCATACCTTTCTGTTCACGTTAGGAAGCTAAGTCATAACCACGACATTTAATTACAGACATCCTTAGGAAACTTTTTTCTCAGGAAGAAAATAAGAATATAGACAATGTTTCCCCCTCTGTATTCTCAGTTTCCTTTTTGGGGAAGAGCGCTATACGATATGATGTTTTAGCATTAGCTTTAGATATCAGGTGCATATGAACTAAAACCATAAAGCTTTACTACCTTTTGAAATGATACAGTTTAAAGGCTGTATTTTGGACTCTGCCATCAAATAAAAATCTATCTATACATTTTTGTGAATTTTTTTTCTATTATAACTAAATTCGGCCAGTGGTTTTATATTTTTCAGCTGGTGGTATAAGAGATATTTAATTTAATTATATCATATTAGGAACAACCCAATTATAATCCTTCAAACTCAGCTAGACTATGAATTTATAGTTGGCAGTTGGTAAATACCTATTAAACGGGATCAAATCTCTATCTAAAACTCTAATCTTAAATTATGTTTTTTCTTTCTTTAGAAGGTTAATTTTTACTTGAGCTTGAAGGGATAGTTAATGATGTCTATTTTCCTCTTTTTAATTGATATATCCTAAAGGAAATAAATAAATATATACATACCAAGTAAATGAGGTTTGAAGCCATGACCAAATTATTGGAATATTAAGATTATTCAATACATAATAAAGGGAAGATTTTCTTTAAGTATTTTAAGCTCTAAAGAGATAGCCCGAAGACATTTAGTAACAGTGGTTTGAATCATTTTAATTTATCTTCTGTAATTACTTAAGCCTTTTTAAAGTACTGCCAGTCAGTAATAGTTTAAAATATGACAGAATTTACTCCAATTTTTTCCTATTTTTTTATTCTAATTCATTTTTACCCATTTTGATCTACTTTTCATTAAAGACAAGATTTGATTATAAATCATTATTTGAGGCAAAAGAATTTTTAGATCTGTTTGACTTTTATTTCATGTTTAATAAACATTTTGAATTGGAAAAAATATTAATTTTTTATTTGCCTGAAAAAATATAGGCATTATCTGGATATGAATGCACCATTTAATAAGACCTAACAGTGGGCTTCACAATTCGAAATGATTTTATATATAAGGCAAAAACCATTATTTGCTTTCGGTCTCTTTTGCTCCTCCTAGCTCCTCTTAGCTCATTCTGCTGTAATTCAGCCTCCAGGAGGGTTGAGACCTAAAGCACCCTTGGTCTCTGAACTCTTTTGTCTTTATTGCCAATCGACCACGTGAAGCTGAATCCCACCTGAGGGCCAAGGCCACACGTGCCTTTTATAAAAGTGTAATGTCAAGTCCATCCGTTCCCATTAAATTAATTCCATAGAGAAAAACCGACACCTACAAGTCTTCTAAATATTCTTAGATCTAAGGCTAAAAAAAATAAGTTGATAAATTTACAGGGAAAAAGGAAATTTATTTTCTTATAAATGAAATCTTGGGAACACGTTTCCCTCTGTTTGAAAATGAATTTCTGGAAATAGCACCAAGTATGACAAAATTCAATTTCTATTTCCAGAAAGAAAAATTCAGTCAAGGTAGAGAATTTAAAAATATTTGGACTGGAGCAATGTTTCAAGGCCAGAAAGAAAATAAAGTAAGGATTATATTTTTCTTCTCTGCCAGAGTGATCTCTGCCAGATCACTCTGAATTCAAAGCAGGTGGTTTGTGATTGCTGGACAAAGTACAGTCATAGGAGAGCAGATGATGGTGCTGCCTAAACAAAGCTAAATGGATGTGCCACTAATTTCTTCAAGTGGTTATCTCATAAGAGATCAAGATAATTTCCAGATGGAGGTGGTATGTGCTGGGGCTTGTTGTTCTCAAAATGGCTGCTACGACTTTTGTGGATGATGTAAATATTTGGATCAGCATTTGGCTGTAGTTCTGCTTTAAGTGTATGGAACTCACATTGAAGTTTAATTATAAACGTGCCTGAGTTAATTCAACAATTAGAGAATGAGTTTGCACATGATTTGCATGCTTAATGTACTAACACCTGAAACATCCCCGAAACCCCAGCTTCTCCCCCCCATCCCCTCCCCCGCAGCCCTATTCCCAACCTTTGCCAGGCAAGCCCTGGTACCCCCAGCTCCTGCCATGTTTGTTTAGGCTGTTTTGAAAACTGCCTGTGAAGCTCGGCCAGGGTACTGCAGCTAAACTATGACAGGGCTAACATGAAGATCTGATGCTTGGTTTGAGTTGTCACATCAGCAGACACTGGTTCAAAGGATCTTTTGATGTCAACCGGCTCCCTTCGTATCATTCCATGGAGTTGCGTGCAAACTTCTGTTGTTCTGTGAACAGTGTTACCTGTGACTTAAGTGTACAACACCTGTTTGCTATGTTGTTGTTGCTTTATGGGGAGGGGGGAGAAAGGGGAAGAAAGTTAATGGGGGAGATTAGAGGATGGTTTGCTAGATTTAGGGAGAGCTTTTAGTTAAGAACTCATATCTGCATGTTTCCAGAGTCATAACTATTATCACTTAAAGGTTATTACACTCAGCTTCAAAATAATATTGAAATCCACATAGCCTGCTATGTGGATTTTATACTAGTTTTTTTTTTTTTAGAGCAAATCACAGCCAGTTGAAATGAAGACAAGAGAAATAATAAAGATCCAGATGTTTGAGAAGGAAAATAAAACATCAAAATCAGAAGTCAGAGGAAAACTTAATCCTAAAATCAATTGCAGTCAGTTATTTTTTTTTACAGAATAAAAATCTACATAAATATAGAGAAAATTCAAGAATGAGTCAGAGATGGATCATTAAACAGACAAAAATGCTAAAATAGATATCCCAGGTAAAGCTGTAACAACATCAATAGGCGGGGGATAAAAGAACCAAGCCATATGCAAGGAAACCGACAACCAGAAGGAAACTAACTCACACAGTAGCTCAGAATAGAGCAAGCGAGAGGAGCTAGAGGCATTTGGACTGGCCACACACTCCTGTGAGAAGCCAAGGAAATAGCATGATGCAAGCTTTGCTCTTCCTACAATTGGGGCGACCCATCTTAAAGAGAAAGGCTTCAAGCTCTCTGCCTCTATGAAAAGGCCTGTGGATTCCTGAGGGAGATCTAGAATTTTCTTCTGGTTTTGCAAAGCCAGTTAGAAACTTCCAGAAGGCAATGACCATGCCTAACACTTTCCAGCATTGGCAGCCACCTCATATGCCACCCTAATTTAAGTCTAAACTGCATAGAGAAAATTTGCATGCTTGTCCTCTTCCCCAAAACTCAAATCCTATTGAAGCTATTCTTGGAGAATTTTGGTTATTAACCTTTTGAGGTTTCTAGATTCTTTCAGAGGATTTCTTTCTCCCCCCAAACATATACTTACATTCAAAATTTCGCATTCTTATCTTAGACTCCTTGAAGATTCCACCTAAGAAATCCTAGTGTCAACCCATTTGCTCGTACTTCCATAGAACTTAGTCTCCAACCAAGGTTTTTGCTTGGTTTTGCAGCTCACGAGACCTCTTTATATTCTTTCAACTCCTGAGAAAGATAATTTCTCATAATTCCATAAGACCAGCCAAATCCAGGTTAGAAAAGAGTGGCTATGGAAATCTGCCTATTGTCTAGTTTGTTATGTCTATTTGAGAACTGAATTTTGAAAAATCAGAATCTTGACCAGGGAAAAGAGAAGAAATCTCTCATGTTTAGTGTCTAAATCAGATAAGAGCCCAAAAAAGCTCTGCCAGTACGGGCCTTGGACTTTGTAGATGCTCACGCTAAACCATTATACAGGCATACCTCATTTTATTGCACATCACTTTATAAAGCTTCATGGATGTTGCATTTTCACAAATTGAAGGCAAGACCCTCCACCAGCAAAAGATCACAACTCTCTTAATTGTGATACTTGATTGCAGTGGTCTGGAACCAAACCCACAATATTCCTGAGGTATGCCTGTCGTAATAAAACAGGTCAGGACTAACCTCATGGAAAATGATAAATAAAATGAGGAGATGTCCTTGCGTCTTAGGTTTGTCTTAGGGGGCATGTGTGTTATATGATATCCCATCATATGTGAACATGCTCATATTTGTGAATCAAGATCCTCAATACATGCATATGCACATATAATCAAACTTGGTATTTAATGTTTAGTTCTCATTTGTGCCTTAGGTATTCCGAAGAAGGTAGATGAAGACATCCAAAACAATCACAGTGGCATTATATCAATACAAATGAATTCAAATGAGGGGACTGAGTTGACACCCATTAGTAAATCTTCTGAAATTTTGTTTAGTATCACAAGCACCTTTTCTCCAAAGATAAAATTATTTGAAGGACATGGTACGTGTCATATTTGGGGAAATGAAATTTATAGAATTGAGTATTTGGAACATAAAAGCAATTCAAGCTAAAAATTTCAAATGATCAAGTTTAAAAACAGAAAATTCTTTGTTAATCAATGTCACCATAATAAACTTAAAAAGGAAAATCAAAACTTTATGCTCTTTTCTGTTGTAACACGCAATTATGAATTATTACATCATTTATCTATATCTTGATGTTTTATTTTAAGATTACTTAGAGTATCATTCTAAAAAATAGAAAATTCAACTTTTTTCACTCCTCAAAAATAACTCAGCTTTGGGAAATATGCTAGCGTATATAAAACCCTCATAAACAGGGAAAGTATTTATATACATATAATACGCACAAACGTATTTGCACATTTACAGCGCATGCGTATAAGACGGACTCAGGCTAGCTATAGGGAATGTGCTTTGCCTACTGCTCATATCACCTCTAGCATAAATGTGATTTTCAGACGGGAGACTGGGGAGAACCTTCCATTACCTTGCGACCTCCAAATGAAGCCACAGCCTCAACTCCAGTACAGTACTGGCAACACCATCCAGAGAAGCTCATCTTCCAGTCATGCGATTACAAAGCTTTTGTAAGTTACCCTGCATTCAGTATTTGGGTGTGAGTAGAGATAGATAGTATATTTCTGGCTTCTCTACTGTTATATATTGAAAATATACCAAAATGTCCATCTTTCTAAAACGTTCTCCCCTTGTCTTTTTCTTAAAGTAGCCTTCTCTCCTCAGAGAAAGTCCAGATAGAGCTTTATAACACCTGTAATCTTGTAAGCTGAAGGTCTGTTTTGCCTTCTTATATAGCTGTATATTTTAAACGAAATTTTGTCAAGTGCAATCTTGAAATGGATATGAGTGCAAGTATAGCACATACAGACATCTCTATCACCAGTGGTTTCAAAACCTTGGGTCTACCACCTTATATAAATGCCAGATTCTTTTTATTGTTATCATTAGGATTATATTACTGGGCATTTTTTTTTAAATAGGAGAGGGATTCAAGCTTAGCCAAGAATTGTGAGTGATCTGAACAAGTAAATTTTCAAAAGATACCATAGATTTTGGGGCAGGTGGTTGTCATGACTACAACAGGTTAAACTAACCTCGGCAGCGTATTGAAACTGCCTCTCTTAAAAAGAAATATTTCAATTAGTGCAAACTTTCCTAAACCTTAAAAGATAAGGATTTCACCAAGATCATTCTCCTTAGTTAAGATGTGGGCATTCTGGTTATCTCAGAGCAATTTAAACTTTTTTTTTTTTCATCTTGTGCTATCTGTACCTCTTTTACTGCTTATTTATCTTTATGCATTGGATTTATTTCAATAGTAATTTCCCCAAATCTGTAGGATTGAAATGCCTCCTCCCTCCAAAGCTCGAACGCCAAATCCCTGAGATTTTATGCCTTTCTTCGAAGCCTTTGACCAAGCAAGCCCTCTGCTGCTGTGCCATTGCACACCGCCTTCGGGGACCTCCCGGGTCTGCAGGACTGACTGCCAACCCTGTTCTTGCAGAGTGCCAGGGTCTCTTCTGTCATGTCAGAATAATTATTTTTTTTAAATAATTATTTTTTTAAAAAATAATTATTTTTAATTCACTTTTAAAAAAGAGACACATAGAGCTCTTATTATTTATCTTTTGAAGGAAAAAAAAATAAACAACAAAAGGAAAGAACCTCACCAAAGGTTCAGAAAAGTTTGAGGAGCCAATCATTAGGCAAAATAGACATTTTGCTAAAAACTATTGGCTCCCAGCCAGGACTTGGAGCATTTTGTACTAAGGCAGTTTTGGGTGGCGTCACCTAAGAGCAAGGTGATTGGTCATTCCTGGGAGGGGAATTTCTCATCCTTCTACCCCATTCAGCCCTCCAGTGCCAGTTCGCACCAGGGACTCAGCTCCCTGCGCTGTGGAACAACTGAGAATGACGTTCTCCCTCCCCGCACGCTCCCATCCAGTTCTCAGGTGGATCAACCATCATAGGGCACACAGCTGTGAATGAAAAAGATCCAGCACGGCATCTCTGCCTAAGAACAGCCTAATGTTAATTACCTATGCAGCCAACTAAGCCTAAATGGGCTGCGTGTTGCTCAACTTCTCAGCTGTCTCATACAACCCTGTAATTACATAGATGGTGCTGTGATTTATTTTTGCAGACATTGCTGCCTCAAAAAAACAGGGAAAACATTTTTAGATGCCCCCATTTTGCAGTTAAATATGATTTGAAAGATGGCTGCAGTTTTATTATAAAGAGCAATTTACAGCTTTCAGAACTGTTTTTAACTCTGCTGCGTTCTCTCTATAAATGCAATTATTTGTTAGGATTACTGTTCGTTTTTTAAAAGTTATACAACGATTTATAGACAGGAAACCTAGCCAGTAGTACTTTCACAGTTTGCTTTTAAATCGCTATTTTTCATAAATCATTGGACTTTTTTGTATTTTAGTATTTAGGTTCTATGCTGATAAAAGAGCTCAGGGGGACAGAATCAACCCAAGATGCTTGTGCAAAAATGCGGGTAAGTTTGCCAAACAATTTTATTTCTGGTTGCTGGAATACTAAATACTGGGTATGGATACAAATTGCCACTTTTCAAATTACTATTATCTTCATCTGTTGGTCTGACAAATCACATTGGTATTACATGAAAAGGTGTTTGTGCTTTTTTCACATTTATACTTGAGCTTATCTCTGTAGTTTGAGTCGATGTCTGTTTGATATATTTATACCTTATTATATATACTCTTATTTTTAAAGCTCTAAAATTAATTGTATGTTAATTGTATGTTAACACTGATCATTCTCTAGGTTAGGAGAAGAAAAATGATCTTTTGTTTATTACAAGTAAATATTGTCTACGGCCATGCCACACTGAATGTGCCCCATCTCATCTGATCTCGGAAGCTAAGCAGGGTCAGGCCTGGTTAATACTTGGATGGGAGACCACCTAGGAATACCAGATGCTGTAGGCATTGAAAAAAAAAAAGAAAGAAAATATTTTAAGCACCTCCTTGACACTCTGAGAATATTTACTGAAAAGACCGCCAATTAACTAAAAATTATCAAATGCAAAAGTATTGAGAGTATATTATATAAAGCTGATATTTTATGAGGCTTCTTAATCATTCTTTTTTTTTTTTTAGTATAAGAGAAACGTCCAACTCTGAGTTGAATCATATAAGAATAGCGAGCATTGACCATAATGGCCATTCCAAATGTCTGTGATTGGTGGCTGCTGGATTCCTAGGAGTCGATATTAGCCAAACCAGATCTCACTCATACTGCAGAAACACCTTAGCTTTTCCTTTCACATGTCCCTTATTTTTGCTTCTTCCACAGCAGACTTATAGGAGTTATAGTGATGTCTGACTGACAGTACAAAACAATATTGAACTTATTCTACGTAGCAACTAGCCAGAGTCTAATTTAAGATAATTTGTGAATGAACCCTAACTTTGATTTGTGGCCAGTACACCCTGTCATTTATTTTATATGAGCAGCTTTTGGTGGAAACTATCAAAAAGCATATAATTGAACTAAAACAGTTATCAAAGTAAATATTTAATATTCATTGGTCATAGAAAGCTAAATGTGTGTAAATCTTCATGAAATTGAGACCTCAGCATGTGATCGCCAATTTAATATTTTGATCAATAGCAGAAAGACTGACATGGTTATTTGATGGTTATTTGAAAGACTGACATGGTTCTATTTGATGTAGAGTTATACCTAAATTGTCAGCGCCCCGATGAATATTTATTTCAGGTACTGTGTTTAGATGAAGAACGCCCTGCTGTGTGTCAGGAACTCTTAATTCTAGTTCTATTGCTGTTTATGTGGCTTAGGAGTCACTTGTTACTCATTAACAGTAATAACTGCTGACATTTCCTGAGTAGTTACAATGTGCCAGTCTTCCATGTTAAGTCCTGTGCATGTTTTTCATACTTAATATTTACCACAAACCTATGAGATTAGTACAATTATTATCCCCACTTTACAGGTGAAGAAATTAAGGCTTAGATTAAATAACTCTCCCCAGGTCACACAGTGAAGAATTTGCCAATCTGGGACCTGGAATTCAGATCTGTCTGACACCAGAGCCCAATCATTCACTACATCCCCTGGCTTCTCATGGGCCTCGTTTTCTTACTTTAAAATGAAAACATTGGATGAGATGCCCCTCAAGGTTTTTCCTGGTTTTATAATTCTGGAAATCTTGTATTTTAAATATACATCTGATCTAAATTATGTCACCAATGAACAATAAGAAAATGGGAAAGTTTTTCAATCATCAAGCCTCATAACAATTTTAGAGCTATTTGTGAACATACCTAAGAAATTAATATGGCATTTCTGATTTAACCGTTAACTCAATTATCTAAATCCAGCTACTTTAATGCCGTTATCAGCATAGTGAGTAGAGCACATAGCACCATTTAAAATACACCCGATCTGTGATTTGAATTTCAGTCAATTTCTTGAAATTAAGTGGATCTGAAATGTCATTCTGATAGCAATAACAAAGCCATTTTAATAGTCTCAGTAGAGAATAATTTAGTTAAATACTTGTCTGTTGCTTATAATGAAACAGAAAAGGCCATCTATTCAGAAGCTATTCTTCATCGGGGCATTTTTCTGGTTTGCTGCCATTAGTATTTATTTTGAGTAGTTTACATGAAAATAGAAACTTTATTGCTTCTCAAGCTATCACAAACCCTTATTTCCCATCTTGATTAAATAAATATTAGTCATTGTTAGAAGAGCTAAAGTTGCACTCACCGAATTCACCAAAGCCTTTCAAAACCAGAAGTGCAGGTTTGATCTGTTGTCTGGGACTGTTGGATTGTGAATTAGAACTCTCACCAACTTAAAATGGTGCAGATCTCAACTTGCAGTTAATTTTCAGTTTGAACCTCCAGTTGCTGTTTTCTCTGTTTTCAACATGATGGCATTTCAGCCAAAAGTCCCAATATAATCAGATCTTCCCAAGGGAAATACTTTAGGACACAGATGATCTTAAAAGTTGATATGTAGTAATATCATTAAGACAAAGTATTGTAGATCAAAACTTTACCTGGCTTACTCTCTTCATTGGAAAAAAAGAAAAGTGTTCAACAGTATGCATTTTAGCTGAAATTAAAATTCCTTTCCCAGTAAGAAGGAAGTCAGTGTGGTTCCTGTTCTGAGAAATATTTTCTCATACGCAGTTTCGTTAACAAAGATAACTAAGATCTGACCCCTGTTCTCACTGAGTTCACAATCCAGTGGAGGAGTCCAACATGATAATATTTAATATCCCAGAGCAGCAGAAGTATCATCATACAGGTGTCTTCATATTGCCATCAGCCTGAGGGATTATCACAGATGCCCCCAAAAATGACATACAGGCAGGCACGGTCCCCTAAAATCAGTTTTTTAGTTAACATTTGAGAGCTGTATGCCAGTCCCTGAACAAATGATTGCATGCATTAATTCATTTAATCATGAAGTAAGTATTGATATTGTCCCCACTTTACCTATAGGGAAACAGCGGCCAAGAAAAGCTAAGGAACGTGCCCAGGGTCACCCGGCCAGTAGGCAGTGGAACTAGGACTTCAACCTAGGCAGTCTGACTATACCATCCACACTCTGAACCCCAGACTGTCCACCTCTCTGATGAGCCACGCGACATGTATTGTCCTAAGCTTTGAAGTAGCTGAAAAGATGGTACATGTCTGTTAATAAAGAAATAGCTGTTGGAACCCTCAGAGAGCCTGCAAAATTAGTACTGGCTAAATTCAACCATTTAGGTACAGACATCTGTAGTGATTTGAGGTATATTCCAATGTGTTAACATAAATAAAAATTTCAGGAGAGGTTTTATTGCATCCTTACAGGCTGGAAAATGTTTTTTTCACAACACTTACTTTAACACATTCGTTTTGCCCCCGCAGAAACCAAACACAGTTCTTTCTTCTCAGAAACATTTGTACTTTTTGATAGTCACGATTGGTTGATTTCTAAGTTTTCCAAACCTGTTTATCCATATTTAAGGTCCCCTCCACTTCGAAAATAAAGATAATTCTACACTAATTACCTGGTGTTTTATTATACACATATTATTTCAATTAAAAATATGTCATCATAAACTGACGTGTGAAATTATAGCAATTCGCATCGTTGTACAATATGGAATTGCTTGTTCGTTCAGGTTAACCAGTCTTTTTCCTCTTCAGATTTTCTTAAGATTTCTCTAGTAGACTTTTTCTAGAGCAGTTTTAGGTTAACGGGAAAATGGCGCATAAAGCACAGAGTTCTCACGTATACTCCCTCCACCACCACAGCCCTCACAGTTGCCCCATAGTTAACATCTTCCATTAGTGTGGTGCATTTGTTATAATTATGAATCAATAGTGATGTTTTATTATTAACTAAAGTTCGTTTACATTAGAGTTCATTCTTAGTGTTATACAGTGTTTTTGGTTTTGACACACGCATATTGTCATGTATCCACCATTGCAACATCACACAAAATTTCACACCATAAAAATTCCCTGCACTCCACATATTCATCTCTCCTCATCTCTGCCCCACCCCCTAACCCCTGGCAGCCATTGACCTTTTTACTGTCTCTGCAGTATTTTTCTCTTCCGGAATGTCATGTAGTTGGAATCATACAGTATGTACCCTTTTCAGTCTGGCTTCTTTCACTTAGCAATACGCATTTAAGTTTCCTCTATGTCTTTTGTGCCTTGATAGCTCATTTCTTTCTATCACCAAATAATATTCCACTGTATGGATGTACCACAGCTCGTTTATCCATTAACTTATTGAAGGCCATCTTAGTTGCTTCCAGGTTTTCACAATTATGAATAGAACTGCTATAAACATTTGTGTACAGATTTTCATCTGATTTTTTTTTTCCTCTGGATCCAAACCCTAAATAATGTCCATCTTAAAATTATCTACTGAATTGTTTAGTGAAGAAAAATCAATGAGAACTTGTATTAAACCTCGATAATTTTTTTAAGTAAAGTTGTCGTTTTTGCCTTATCTTTTAGATTTTTCTCTGATAAATGCCTGAGAGATTGAATATGCCTTGATATTGAGGCATACTTTTAGGAAGAATGATGTCTGTTAATTACTTTGCTCCTTAGTAGTACAACTTGGCTGTTTATTTCCTTTACCATGACAGCTTCGGAGACATGTATATTTCAGATTAAAATCTAAAGACATATATTGGTGATATGTGAGTTGTTGTAAAAGATATCTATTTAATCTGAACACATTCATTTAGTGTTGCCTTTTGTGTTACTGATTGCTTTTCCAGCTCAGTCGGTGCACAGAGACAGAGTCTTCATTTCTGAAAGGCTCCCAGAGGGGAAGCACTAGCTCTGGGACCCTGAATACGATGCCCCCCTGACATGTTCCACAGAACACAGAACCTTCCCTCTGTCACACCTCAGCTCACACTGTACTGGCATACCTCCTTTTATTGCACGTTGTTTTATTGTGCTTCACAGATGTTGCCTTTTTTTT